ATCAGGGCTTTCTCCCATGTGCAGTTTGGAGCAGCTGTAGTCTCTGCTCTTTTCTGTTTGGAGTGTTCCAGGGGCTTGCTGTGGGAGTGCAGTGAATATTCCGTGTGGGAGAAAGGAGGGAGTGAGAACCAAGCCATTAATTAAAGGCTGCCTAGTCTGAGCAAGCCAGTGCTTAAAGCACAGTTGCCATGGATGCTCCAGCCTGAGTCACACTCCTCATGCTCCCCTCTGCTGTGCTGGGGTGCCTGGCTGTCCCTGTGCAGAGAGGGTGACACCGATGGCTTTGGTGATTCACAGATAATAGGGCAAGAAGCATCACTGCAGCCCCAATGAGCTCCCCTGGAAAACAAATGCATGGCCAGCAGATAAATCTCCACTGACAGACTAGTGCATCTCTAGGAACTCCTGCAACCAGTAGCAAGGGCACATCTATTGTTAACATTTAGTTGGGTGAATGAGAAAAAAACATTGATATGTCTGTACCTCAGTCTCCTCCTCTGTAGTGTGTGAAGGATATGTGCAGTAGTCTTTGTTTGAGTACTTTTTAAAGTTTACACCAAAAGTGCTTGGCAAAATGCAGCAAACTATGATCAGCAAACTATGATTTATTAATGTTTTCAAGATGGTCCAGAAACTGAAATGTCACCTGAATCAGTTACAGGGCAAGTGCCATTGATAGCCAGCCCTTCTACATACCCTTGTGGTATATAAAACCCTTTTGGGGAAATTTTTTTTAATTCAGGGCAGCTTTATCCAGGGGAAGAGATTCAAAGGGCCATCCAGATGGCTGATCAGCTTGGCATGGGTTTAAACATTTTCAAGGAAATTAGTCTGTCGAGATTTCTTTGTCAGGCTCCAAACAGAGCAAATGATTGGGCTCAATCTGAACATTCGGAAAAGGATGCAGGATGTTGGTGCCAATGCTTTTTTAGTATCTCTTGTATCAGATCTTGTGTGCCAAACTGCTCATGTGTCCAGAGGTAAACTTAATCACCAACTCTGAGCTGATTCTCTCCACCCATCTGAGCTGATGGAGACATCAGGCTCTTCACTTCCTCTGTAGCAGGTGGCTTTTAAAGTATCTTCATATGTCACACCTAATTCATTCCTGCCATTGCATCACTTACTCTCTGGAGCACAGTTCTTGTGTCAACGTTTTTCTTTTATTCTGTATGATGCAAGTATTTGGCCTGATTAAATTATAGGCTGGTACTCTCATGCAGTTTAAGGATAGCAGATACACAAGAGGTCAGACTAGATGGCCCCAATAGTCCCTCTCATGGAAAAATGAGACCAAATGGAATCATTACAAAGCACCAAGTAATTTCAAAGCAGCAGGCACTGAAAGCAACTCACAGGCAAAGCTGTGAGCTGTGCCACTAGGTGATTTAATACCCACCTGGCCTTTGACTTATCTGACACTGCTGTGAGTGGCACAGCTGGGTGCTGCAATGACTGTGTGCACCAGTGGACAAACAATAAGCAAAACCTTGTGCAAGTCTCCTCCTGAACACCCAGATCTCCTTGGATATTCTTGCAGTGATTCATTCTGGCTCCAATTTATCCAGACAGCCCAGTGAGTCCTTCACAGGAGCAGCCTGAGGTGCCTCAGCCAGGGTGTCTGGGCACTGCTGCCCTTCCAGCACTGGCTGTGTGCAGCCTGGAGTCTCTGCTGACTTCTCAGCATGCAGGATCATGCTGCTTCTCCTTGGAAACAATGCACATTTGCATTGTGCAAATATTAAAAGTAACTCGTTATGACTTGTTCATTTAATTATGGAGTCAATTTGAAAGCTTTAGAGGAGTGAAGGGAAATAATATTTTAATTGGATTTTCTCATTGGTACAGAAATAAAATAGGAAATATCTAGAAAATATTAAGTACAGCTGTCTCATTTTAATGAAAAATGTATATGAAATTAAAACAAATGTATTTTTATGTAAATGTCATCACATATCTTTGTTTAAATTTTCAGTCTTTCTCATCATGGAAATGGTCTTTCAAACCCCATGAATCTCTAGTGCTGGAAGGGACCCCAGGTCTTGGCAGGTGGCATAGGCACTCACGTCCTGCTGGCTGGGTTTGCCACAGCTGCTGAGTGCTTCTGTCTGCTCCTGGCAATCAAACTTCCCTTCTGTCAGGCACCCTACACTGCTCCACAGATGCCTATGAGATCAGTACTCTGCAAAAAAGGAGGGCAACTTTAATGTGAGGTAACCAGGCCCAGGTTCAGTGAAAGTGTTCTTGACTTTATTCTAGGCTCAGAAGAGATGCCATAAACTTCCCTGTGGTGCATTTAAGGTGTCACAGTAGTTCACCTGGATCAAGCAGCACATTTGGAGTGTGAAGGCAGAGAGGGTTTAACTGGAGCTTTCATCAGCAGCCACAGAGCAATTCATTCTGCAGAATAAAATTTTAAGGAGACTCTTTTGAGGGCTTACTTATTTTCAAGTGAGTTAACACATTAATGACACTTTGTTTGTTGCTTTTCTTCTTTGTTTTTTTCCCCCTCAAGCAGCCTAAAAGCATACAGGAAAAATACAGGGATGCATTAGAGTGACTGTGCTGCCTGGCATTGCCCACCAGCCAAAGGGTGGGGGGAGCCTCCACAGCAGCTCCTGCCAATGTCTCTGCTTTTCCTGCTCCTGAATGTAGCATCCCATGAACTGTTATAACACAAAACCACATTAGATCTCTAAGCAATCTGCTTCATGTGGGTGATGAACATCAGTGTGTGCAGGGTGCCAGCGCTGCTGAGTACAAACTGACCATGAATGCCAATGCCCTGGTTCACCACACCCTGGGCACAGTGACCTCCTTCTCCAGCATCATCATCTGAAAGCTTTTAACCTGATTTGGATGAATGATGAATATACAACAATTTAATGGACAAGTGGAAGAATTGATGCAAGATTCTCAGGCCTGGGGAATTCTTTAGTGTTCACCAACAGATTGAGAACTAAGCAGATTTTAGGTGACCTGTATCTGTGGTGACAGCTGAGAAATAAACAATTCTGAACTAGTAAATGTTGCTTCCAGATTCTCTTCAATTTATTATCAATGCAGTCATTATCAGAAAAGATTGACTGTGAAACAATACATGCAATTGCTTTATCTGACTGCCTTGTTTTCTCCTCCCTTTCTCACTGAGTAAGTCTACCTAATGTCAGACTCAATAAAGTCAGACAGCTGGTTATAAGAAACAAACAGACCCTCATTAAGGGAGGCCCCTCGTGCTGCTTTTGTTTGTGCTCATCTGCTTTATGGGAATAGACAGGAAAAACATGAATATTTAAGGCACTTTGCTTTGGCTGGGAACCAGCTGAACACAATTTCAGTGGTGTTTTGCCCCTGTGCCACCTCCTCCAGAAGGAAGCTTCAAAACCCATTGACCACTCTGCTCCATTCATACAGCAATACATTTGCTCTGGCTGAAACTGATGGTTTGGTTTAATGTGCAAATGCTGTCCTCTGTTAAAATATCCCAGATGTTGAATTGAGAACTGCTTGGTTTCGTGGTTCCTGTCCACCAGCCCCATCCCCAGCACAGCACCTGCCCTGTGGTGCCTGCCTGTGCTCTCCTTGCATTTGGGTGCCAGCCTGCTGCAGGCTTGGCAGCAGCTTGTGCTGGGCAGAGCACAGAGCTCCTGGCTCTGGCTACAGAAACACACCAGCCACCAGATCAGAGCTCCTGCAGGAGGGCACAAGATTTAGTCAGCTTGAACCCCGTTCTTTGATATTGTATTAAAACTCCCTAGAGTCTCTGTTTCATTCAAAATGGAGATTTTACTTTTGGGTAGATGCATTAAAAGAACACAAGCGAGGGACCTTTGGCATGGCAACAGCAGGGGATGGATGGGCAGTGGGAAATGCAGCTTCCTGCAGTTCAGGCTGCCACTCCATATCATGGGAAAATGACCTGGAATTCCTGGTAGAATATGAAGCACTAGGGTTTGCACTGTTGTTGCTCAGGCTTGGGAAAGGATTGAACTGATTGGAATAGGAAAGATATAAAGATGTATGCTCAGAGACTAAGAATAGTATCAATCCTCTCTTTGTAAAGTCATTATTTTTCAAAAGGTGCAGCATGATAAGGTGTGTTCTTTGGTATATACTACATTTATATTCAAAATCCCAAGGGAATTGAACACAACCCCTGTAATGCAGGACTAAAACTGGTCTTTTGGTAAAAGCTATGAATTATGTAGAAATAAAATTCTGAGAGATAGGAAATGGAGTGCAGGACCTCATGAGCTTCTCTGCAGCTGTATTCTCTGATTCCCTTATGAGTGAGGATCTGGGAATTGTGCTGCATAGTTCCCATGAGCACTCTTCTGATTTAGACTCTGCAAATCCCAGCAGAACCACATACTGAGATACCTCCTCTTCTTTCAGTATGAGATTTTCTCATTTTCTTGAAGTATCATCCACTCCTTTACATTGAGATGAAAAGAAGAAAGATACTGTGAGATTTCACAGTTAAAGTACTGCCATAAGTAAAGGTGGTCTTAAAATAGGTAGAGAAGATGTTTTATTTCTCTGTGGGTTAACTGTGAAGTTCTCTGGGATTGTGGAGAACAAATTGTCCGTGGGAAATGACATTTCCTTTTCAATTGTCCTTATGCACTGTGCAGCTATGTGTATTTGGCAGTTCTTTTGTCATGCAGCACAGGTTCTAAGGGCCATGTTAACCACTCATTAACTCAGTCCAGGCCTTTAGGCACTCCGCAATGCACCTGAGTCCCTTGAACCTTAGAACTGGGGATAATGTGAAAGAAAACGTGTGTTTTGGTGTCAGGTTCTAATGAGGTGCCATATGGAAATTTCAGATACACTGTGGAGAACAGAGGGCAGGAAATACCACCAGTCTCTCCACCTGAGAAGGTGAAATCCAGCAGAGTGAAAGTTGCAAGAGCTGCAGAGGAGAAATCAGTTTAATGTGATGTCCGAGCACCAACGGGGGCTCAATTCAAGTCACAAACCCATGAAAAATTGCAAAATCCAAATCTTTTGTGAAGGTTTATTTAGAAAAACCACAATGCTGGGGAGTCACTGTTACATAGCGTGGTAATTCTCTTCCTCTTGAGTAATATGCACCACACTGTGCGCATGCAGTTACATCTGTTCCAGAGCTAACATTGCCATTTATACATGTACACATATGGTCCTCAGTGCACGCTACACTTCACAGGGACATTAGGACACACACAAAGTTGAGCATTTCCATGAAAAAACCTGTATAAAAAATACAAACCAAACTGAAGCAGTCAACACGAGAAGCAATGTGCAAAAATAGACAGTTACTCCTGAACGTTTGCTTAAGAAAAAGGGACTTTTCTGTCCTTGTTCCCCATTTAGCATTGACAATGCAGATGTTGTCTGAAAGTAGGATATGAAATAACTCATCCTGCCCCCCTTTTTGTTAGTTGCAGAGATTTTTAACCAGCTAAATAATCCTGTAGTAGTGTGAAAATCTGCCTCCAAGCATCACCACTGTGTGCTGTTGTTGCATCCAACAGATCTTTATATTGCTGCAATGTCTGACCTGTGACACTCAAGGCTGGTGACAGCCAAGGCCTTGTGTGGAGCACACAGAAGAGGCAGAACAAAGACATCTCTGGTCACTGAGCCCCCTGGCAGGGGCTGGCAGCAGCTGCCTGCAGAAAACAGCCGGGGATTGGGAGCTCTCCTCACACATGCTGGAAGGAGCCAGGCTCCCAGGTCCTGGCCATGGGGTGCACAGCTCTGGCCCTGTCTCCTCACTCATGGTGGGGCTGGAGTTGGAGATGATCCCTCCAAGGGTGAGGCTCTTCCCTCAGAGGAACCGTGGCTTTGCAAAGGGAAGGGCAGATGAGGGGATGGAGAGCCCCAGAGCTTTCCCCAGCCAGGTACCTCAGTGCAAACTGGGGCTGCAAATCACACCTGACTGCGTAAGCTCATGTGTGGCTCTGAGCAAAGCCATCCAGGACATGCTGCAGACACCATGAAGCAGCCAGACCAGCCCATCCTTGTGAAACTGCTGCATGCAAATACCAACACTGTCAATGGCAACTAAGACTAGAAATGGATTGCACTTGTCTCCCTTGAACACAGATACGTACCACTAAAAAAGAAAAAATAACCATTAAAAAATCTTCAAACGATTGATAATTGGGATTCCCTTGGTTGGAGCAAAGGAAACGAACAAGAAATTAGGGGCAGAGTGGTTCCTATCACTGAAGGTTGTCAGTAACATAATCTTTAGATGCTGTGGATGAGGATTCTTCCCACCATGAAACTTCATGGTGCAAAGCCCAGTATTCCCCTTGTAATCCAAATGTTTTCTAAGGATTCTATTTAAGCCCATGCAGAGTTATGACTGTATTACAGAAATTGTAATTTTTTTTAATAGGAGATCAAAGTTTTTCACAGCAAATCCTGCATGGATCCAGGGAAAACCTTAGCAAGAGTCCCCTGTGTGTTTTGTTTTATTTGCAAAGCAAAGGTTTCAGTTTATTCTGGGGAAGGAAGGAAGTGGAAAATGTAGAGACTGGGAGCTGCTGGGGGAGTAAACTGTGGCCACTGCACTTTTATCCCAGCTCAGCAGACCACTTCAGCCAAGTATTTTAAGTGGGATTTCAGCAAGTGTTATTCACTTTGGGCCCCACTACAAAGACCAGTATCCAACAGGAAGAGCCTTGCCTTGCACCTTCTCCTTTCCCTTACAAAAGGCACAGAGGGAGGGTTCATCCTGCTAGCTCACACCTCAGCAAGGTGAAAGCATCGCTCAGGGAACCGTGCCAAGCACTGCCTGCTCTGGGGCTCCCTGTGTCTCTGATTCCAGCACCCCACAGCTTCCCTGCTAATCCTGAGCCACTCCTGCAAGTTCTGCAGTGACTGAGGTGTCCAGCACTGCCCACAGCAGTGCTTCATCCCTGTCTCAGAGAGGCCGGAGTGCCCCGGGTGGCAGCGCTGCCTGCAGGAGCATTTCTGCAAGCTTGGGGTGTGTGACACCTCTGACCTGAGCGTCCCTTGGCTCTCACAGCCTGTGCCCGTGGAGCCAAAATGAACCTCTGCCTGTCAGTCAGCTGTTGGCAGTGATACAACTGTGGTAGAGAGTAGTTTTAGATGGTAAAATACACAAAATGACACATCAGACTGAAGTATTACTGAAATTTTGATGCTGTTGAGCGTTGGGGTTAGCTGCTGCTTCGTGAGTGTTTTCCACTGGGTTAAGATAATGTCCAGCATGTAAGTTAAAGCCATGATTTAGCAAAGTATTTCTGCATGAGCTTAAATCTGCCCTTATTCAGATAAACACTGGCACGAATACTCATGTGCCTTGTGATGCAGGGACAAACCTCAGCTGCAGCAGATAAATGTCAGGCATGTAGCTGTCAAAACTACGTCTTTAGTGTCTTTCCCTGGTAGCACAGTGGCTTTCTTGGATTAAGTATTTAATTAATCTTCATCTAAAAGGTCCTGAGAACAGTCCTATAATGCTAACAAACGTATATAAATACAGGACTAAAAAAAGTCAAACTCATGGCTCAAAGCAAAACAAATATTGCTCAGAATACTTGTTTAGGTTAAGATCACTAGCTGTAAACTGTGCATTCTAGTAGCAAACAAAAACTTGTTGGCCTAGAAAAAAAACCCCAAAACATTCAGTGTCTACAGGATTGGCAGCACTAATATTACTTTACAATGTGGAGTAAGAATAAAAACCATCAGTGTAACATTGCAAAATGATCCACCTAACCTAAGCTTATGTAAACAAGTACGCTTTGAGAACGTGTGTACGTCTAGGCGTGATCCTGCGCTGGGAGCTGGGTGGGTGCAGACCCAACAAGGGTGGCAGGAGCTGTTCCGAGGTGGGTCCAGCTGCCCAGATCCCACTGCAGGAGAGAGGCTCAGGGGTGTGAACCTGCAGACCTGTACTGGCATCACTAGTTCTACTCCTGGGAGCAGCCCATTGCAGGATTCAGTTCAGCAGGACTATACACATAAGTAAGGATTATTCACAAACATAAGGCATTGCAGAACTTGGCCCTAAAATTTCTATTTTCAGCAGAGAATCCCTTATCCATATTCAAGGTCATATTTTCATATATCAAAAAGTGTCTAAAATAAGGGTCAGAGTCATGTTATGCTCAGGAACATGGTTAAGATGCTGCATATTGGCTTCAGATACTGCAAACCATTTTCTTCATTAAAATCAAACCAACTATGAACCTTTCTCATAAGAATTAAATTAACCATGAAAATTAAAAACGTGCAGGCTCTGTTTTCAAGGTTAAAAGGAGACATTAACAGAAATCAGCAACTCCCATGGTAATAGTTTTCCAGTGCCTTCCCTTCTGAGCAGTGAGCACTCTGAGGCTGCAGTGGTGGTGGGCTCCAGTCCTGCCTGGTGTCCTCGGCGCTGTGGCTACTGCCGCTCCCCTTCCACCCGCTTCTTCCGAACTGCACAGAGCAAGGAGAGAGTCAGCACTGTCCTCTGGGAGCTCCTCCACAGCCAGCCCCCGGGACATGGAGCACAGAGCGAGCAGCTCCTGAGAAACGCTCAGAATTATGCCCACAAATACCACAATCAATATATACCATAGACCGTAATGCTCCATAAAATAATTGTACCTAAACTGCATTGTTTGTATCGCAGACTGTAGAATTGCACCAAGTGTTCACATCAATGCATTTTCCACAAAAATCACATTCTGAGCTAAAGGTTTATTGCTAGATGATAAAAAAATCACTGCTTCCTGCACTTCCTTCCAGTGATTCCATTTAGATTTTATTACAGTTTTATTGTTCTTTTAAAAGACACTGTGTTCCAGATAAATTAATACTGCTCTAGTCTGCAGTGCTGTGGATTATTTAAGCTCTAGGCATCAAAAATTAGTAATTTCTGTAATTGCACAGTGTATCCTATAGGTAAACAATAATCATATTTTTTTAGAAAATAATTTGAAGTACGCTTAATACTGTTAATATTGGCAAAAAATATCATATTGGACCTGTTTAAACTTCACCTGCTCTGACTGGATCAACCATCAGACAGTCAGTTAATTAATGCTGGCTTTTCACTGGAAACCACATAGGTTGAAGTTGCCGTTTAGCAAAGCAGAGTGGTAAACCTTGTGTTATGGACAGGATTATTTTGACAAGCAGTGTGAATTTTTACAGCTCCTAAGATATATTATACCTGGTATAGAGCAGGTTTAGTTGGGCAGCATTTGCTACTCCACATTCTAATAAAATGCACTGAGTTTTTTCTGACCTGGCCAGATAAGATTTGTGAGGTTTTCCTGTTTGTGTGATACAAAATTTAGTGTTATGTCAGTGTCATGTCCTGTTCCTGATATTGAACAGCTGAAGCACAGAACAAAGCAGTAAAACTTGATGGATGAATGCTTTTCACCACAGAAAGTCAATACCAACAATATATTGCTAAACATCTCATTACTTTACTAAGAGGAGGTTTTTTTTATCATGCCTTTTTGGCAAACAGACTGCATTATTCCAAAGCCTGCAGTGTAGCATCAGTCATGTGTGTCTGCTTTCATTGTTTTGTTCATTTATTTTATTGAATTCCTTTAGGAATTCTGTCCTACAAAATCTTGAACAAAACCAAACGACACAAACATGGGAAAATTAAGATTAGGACATAACTCTAATGACAAGTGGTGAAATAATGGGGGGAAAGGGTTTTTCTCACTTTGTAGATGGGATATTTCAAATGCCCTTCTGGACACTGATAATTTTAGGAAAAATAGTTTCTAGTTGGAATGTTTAGGTATTGCTAAAAATTAAAATTTCAAACCCCTAAAAGTATGTATGAAATAAAAAGGCTTTAGCTGAACTTTTATCTTAGTTCCCACAGAAAGAAACCCAAGCTGAAACCCACAAAGTCATCAAGGTTTGATACCCCAGTCTGAAGCAGAACTGATTAAAAATACAAAATTTAAATTTTTCCCCCTTCTCACTCTAAATTTCTTCTGCCTAGTCATCTCCTTTGTATTCTGTGTACTGAGCACACAGGGTGTGCATGTCACACTCAGGTGACACTTGCAGGGTTTTATTGTCTGTGCCTGTTCTAGGCCACAGAAGCAGGAGGGTCTGGTTTGCTCCCTTGGCTGGGCAGGCTTGGTCCATCATGGGCTGGACAACAAAGTCAGGACTTCTGTGTCCTCTGAAAAAACAGGATGGGTTTGACTCCTCATTTACTGGCCAGAACACTGATAGAGCAGTGAGAAATTTAGGATATTCCATAGAAAAGGCTGAAGTAACTCCCCTTCCCAGAAGGAGCAGGAGAAAAATAGTGGCTCCTAATTCCAGTACGATCTTTGCTGTTTTCTGCTCTAGAGTTCTGCATCTCCCCTCACACAGAGCAGTGTGAATGCTGTAGTCAAAATTCCATCTGGATGTACAGACAGGGAGAGCTGTGCCTGGGAAGATCAGGGCTTGGCTCACACAAAGAAATGATGAGTAAATGTAGTGACATCTTACCCAGGTCGTTGTTTTTAGTGATAGCTGCTGCCACCCTGGTTCTTGGACCTTGTTTTGTGAATTGGTATCCAAACTTGAGAATCCTGGAGTTCTCCTCCAGCATCTTGGCAATCTCCATCTCTACAGCTGTCCCAAGCTGCTGCCTCTGTTGGTGATGTAGTGAAGTGTCCCCAAAAGAAAAGGAAACATTTGCTTTCATATGAGAGAGAAGTAAATGGTTGTGTTTAAGTACTGGACTGCAAACTACAGAGAATCCCATCCCTGGAGGTTTTGCCCTGAGTTTTTTTATTTGGCTTTGAGTAGTTTTATTGAGAAGTTTTCCACTCTTTGGTTGCACTGGCTGGGGACATGAACTGCAGAATGAGCCACAGAGGCTGCCTTGACTCTGCCAGAGTCCCCTGGTAGAACCCTCTGGGAAATCCATATAAAAGAGAAACAAAAGTGAACTTCCCCAATGGTCTCTCTTTACCTGGTTGTCAATTTTAATCTCTGTTAGGGATTCATTCGTTTTCAGTGCATCAATCAGCGCCAAAATCCCTGTCCCAGTGATGAAGTTGGATTCTACATTCAGACTCTTCAGTGTTTTGTTCACTTTCAACATATCTGCAAATGCCTGAAGGGCCAAAAAGAGGGAACATGACATAACATCTTGAAAGTTTCAGGGAATAACAGGGAATCTGCAAAACACAGCTTTGTACCGACAAGAAGTAAAACATAAATATGCTTAGAAGAATGGAGAGGTAGATCAGAAGATATTATATTTCTACTTTGCATAGCCATAGGGCATTCCTGCAAGGGAAAATAAAGAATGTATCCTAAAACAGACATGGACCTGCTTAAAAGTTGTTGTGGTTCTTTTTTCCCAGTAATGTTAAAACTTACAATAGCTACAGGATCATTGCTTCGAGTAGCTGCAAGGCTGAATGTCTTCACATGTGTGTTGGTTTCCAGAGCTTTTGCAAATTCTTTCAGTGTTGGAATAGGAATATTCTAGAGTAAAAAGACAATAGTTAGGAAAGCCAATCATACTGCTGATTTTAATTATTATGAAACTGATTGCTGAACAACCACAGTCCGTGCAAGGAAGCATCCCTGGTGCCTTTAGGAGTGTGTCAGAGTGGGCACAGTGTGCCCCAGAGGCTGGGGGTGCCTGTGCCAGGCTGCAATGCCAGCGCTGCCCAGAACTGGGGCAGGCCAAGGCAGCCCAACTCTCCTGAGCCACTTTCTATTCCTCTGCCAGCTGTTCAGTCTCCACTGCCAGCTCCTCCTCCAGTTGCCTGAGTGGGCTCATTGAATTTGGCCAGTGATGATTACACAGTGCCCATGAGATATCTTCCTTTACAATCTGCTGAGAAAGGCAGCCAAAGGGAGTCACCCTTTGGGCATTTAATCAGCATTTAATTCAGCATCAGGAATTGATGACCTTGGAGCCACTACAACAGTCCTTTCCCCAGCCCTTCCCTGAGTGTCTTGCTTTTTCTGAACAATAAAGAGAGACAAAATGTGAGGATAAAAGGCACAGGCTTTGGAAGCATTTTAATAAATCCTCCTATGATGACATGGACAAAAACACAGCATCTACCTTTATGTTGTTGAGATTAACTTCTGTGAGACTAGGATCATTTGCTTTTATCCTTTGTAGACTTGCTTCCACATTGGTTGGATTGGGTGGCTCCTCAAAGATGGGCTTGACCTTTTCACCTTTCACCACATCTGCAACACAAAATCTCATTAAATGTCAACCCAGGAACAGGCACCATCACTCTGGCTGTTCAATTCCCATTTAGGTTTGTAGTGCAGCAGTCTAAGAAGGCTTTATGGGAACCACAAAACCTGCAAGTAGGAGTGTTATCCCCCCTAATCCCTGCCATGCCCTTTGCACCCCCTGTGTACCCAGAGCTGTCACTGGAGGCTGTGGTCAGGCAGGCTGGGCAGCATTGTCATGGGAAAACTTCTCCTTTTTATAAAAATCCCTGTACAATTAATGGGAGCCAAAACAGCTTTGACGACTATTGTTTGGGATGTAATATTCTGCAAAAGCTGCTTTGTACTTTGTCTAGTATCTGTAAAGAAAGGTGTGCTCAGAACTTGCCCACTATATTAGTAAGTAAATGTCCCTGCACCTATGAATAGACATAAAGCAACATGAGCAGGAGGCCCCTCAGTTTCCTCCTCTCAGCTGATACTATCAGCCTTACTATAAATTCAATTAGCTCTTGTAAAATTGCAACATCTGCACTTTTTAAATAATAAAACTATCAAAGCATGAAAAGTAAGTCTGTCTGCCAGCACCAAGATTTACGAAATCTTTGAGTAGTCATGTTCCAAAGAACTATGGTATTTAGTGCTGGAAGCTATGAGCTATAAATATTCTCAGAGATGCATAAAAATCATAGCTCAGAACATAATTAGCTTAGAATACAATCTAATTCCCACGCATATAGTTGTGGAGATTAATTTATTAGCCCTGACCGCCCAAGCCACTAGAAGCAAAAAAGGAATATTTTGCTGACCACAAGTATGTTTGAATCCTTTTGTTTTATGCTGCAGACAGGGAGAGGTTTTGAAGATTTGTGTTCAGGTCTCAGTGTACTACACATTGCTGTTCATTGCAATGGGTTAAAGTTCATGCCATATCACGGGCCAAAAGTAAACCACATCTTACTCAGAGCTCATACTCATAGTAGAGATGGTCATAGACATATCTTGAGCTGGTTTTCACTCTTCTCCCTTTGATCCCAAATATATATATATATTTTTTTTTACTAATTCTCTGAGAGACCTCACATATCCCTGGTGCCATGTTAGCCTTTCTAGGCAGTTGGGAATTGAAAACTACATTTAGAGAATTCACTTTGGATGCAAGGATAGAAAGTAAACAAAAAAGCAAAGCATTTTTTGCACTTGTGGCAACACCCTGCCAGACTGGGAGCAGGGGAGACACAAGCACCCTGTCCTCAGGTTAGACATCACAGTGTACTCAGTCTAGAGTCAGGAGGCATTTTAATTTTCTAGTTCTTGTTGCTTTCCATGAGTTTTTCTTGTTTCTTTAATCATGGTGTTGTTTTGCCACATTGATGAGCAAATTTTTACTGAAGCATTTCCCTTAGCTAAGGAAAGGTATTGCTTTTGGACCAAAGAATACAGTGATGTGATGGTGATTTTCTGGTTCATAGGTCTGCAATTGGAGCATAGTTTAGCTGACTCACATAGCTGACTTTTTGACTTAGTACAACAAAAATATTCTGAAATCTATGAGGATTAGTAATGCATGCAGTTGCCTGTTATGAGATAGATGGCAGCTCACATAGGGCCCCCACTGGGAAGGTTTGCAAAGCAGCTTTATCCTGAGAAAAATGAAGTGACACAGTGTCCTGTCTACTTTCCCACCTCCCCTTTAGCAATGGAAGATGGAAAGGAAAGCCCTTGGTAAAGACAGCTGCTGTTCTCATGGCCTGAGAAGAAGAAAACATTTTTTTAGTACTGTTTCCCTAGGAAAGGGCATTCCACAGTTTTGTCTTAAAAAGTAAAGTTTAGCCCACTAGATATCCAGGGCCTGGAGGCAACAAGCTCTGGATCAAGGCTTGGCAGCTCTCAAGAAGAGCTTGGAATTCAGATGTGCCCATTTCTCCCTCCATCCAGCCTCCGGTGGGTTGCTGAGCTAAGATCACATTCACCAAAGGTCTGTTTATTTAGTGCAAACATTTCTGGATTTGTTTTTAGTAACTACAGCTGTTTCTCTTGGGGGATTTCCAGAACGATTCCTTTTCCTGTGTCCCTAAGGAGCCACAGAAGAGGCACTGCAGCACTGCCACAGGAGCCAGGTGGAGGTGGGACATCAGAGGCAGAGGCTGGGGCAGGAGCACATCCAGGCAGTGTTTGCCTCCAGTGATTGCAGCTCGAGGTGACCCTGGTCACAGACGTGACTCTGACAGGGATTCTACCACATTTGAGCCCAGTGATTACAAGTAATTTTTCAAGTGTGTAAATGTAGGTACTTGGGGCAAGATGGCCTGGCCTGAACTGCAGCCAATTCTCAGCTACAGCTCACTCTGTTTTCTGCCTGCTGCCTAAACTGAAATGGAATGGAAATTTATATGTCTTGGCCTCTCAAATACTCCCACTTTTTCAAATTCCTCTGCAGAGCCAGATACTGCTATCCAGGAAAACAAATTTCCTTAGGAATTGTTTGTTTGTATATTACTGTTGTTTTTATAATTAATTTTAAGATTGTATTTACTTTTAAAAAGCCACCTAATGATTAATTAGATCAATCAAAGTTAGGCCCAGTTACATTACACTAAATTAGATCAACAGACCCCACCTACAGGTGTAGAAGTCCCTAATGATGACATGTGGCCCACAAGAGAAATCTGCTTGCTTACTTCTCACGATTCCTTTTCCATCTTTACCGCGGGCTCCTGCCTCATCAAATTTTGGGTTGTTGACCATGTTGTGCACTCCAAGAACAGCTGAAATGGGTAAACACCAGCAAGAGGATACAATGTTAATGACAGGAACACAGACTACAGGAAAGTATCTGCTACAAATTGTAGTTTAGTTCCCTGAACAAGACCCCCTTTATAAAATGTTAACTGCGTGCGTCATGCCCGCTGGTAGGGAGAGGCTTTTGGGCTCCAAATTCTGGAGGTACAGACACTTTCAATACAGATTTTTGAACAATCAAGTCAATGTAGAATGCATGTCCCAGAAGTGCCAGCTGGAAGGAACCACTGTGGGTCATCTTGTCCAGCCTCGCCCTCAGGCAGGAGTGCTGCCAGCATTAATGAGGTCAGCCATGGCTTTGTCTGCTGGAGTCTGAAAACACCCAGGGATGGAAATCCCGCAATTTCTTGGGGTAAACTGTTTCAATGCTACACTCCTAATCACTTTCCTCCCTTAATATACAACCTGAACTTCTTATAACTCGTATGTTCTATTGTTTGGTGTATCTGGGAACTTCACTGTACATGTGATGAGCTTAATGCATTGGCATTTCCACCAGGGTTTCTTATGGAAGCTCATCGATATTAACGCCCTTGGAAAATAATCAGAAGTGGTGAAGATCCCCAGGTCTAATCACCTGGCAATCAATTTTCTCATTCAAGGGGTTAGATTCCAAATTTCCTCATGGATTCAGGATCTTTATCCATGCATGCTGTAACAAGTTTATCTGGCTATTTGGGATGTCAGAGGTAGGGAGGTAGCTGTAGTATGCTACAAACAACACAGATACAGTAGGATCAGTCACTTCCATAATAGTGCCAGACCCCAGCCTGCAGTCCACTGTCCACCTTCCCTTCCCCAAATCACATGAGCTGCTTCATCTTCCCCCCTGGCCTGACACATCCATTTTAAGCAGAGAAGTCTGAAATGCAGCAGCTGTTGAGTCCCGTTTCAACTATCCTGGGCAACGTGTGGCCCATGGCCTGGCCAGCCATCAGACAAGCACCAGGGGCTTGAGGGGTCATCACGAGACACTCCTGGGGCAGGTCTGGCCTGAGAAGAGCTGGACACGTGGGAGGATCCTGTCTGCATGTTTTCTCACCTGCAAGGTCATAGAGCTCGGTATCAGAAGCACTGGCCAAGGCCTCTTCTAGTTCTGGATCCAGGGTCACCTTCTCTTCTGTGCGGGTTTCTACGGGCTTTTCTTTAGGGATAAATATTTTTCCTAAGATAAGAAAAAAAGCCAAAGTGAGCAATGAATATTGGAACAACTTCTTTTCCTCCTGGCAGCAGAGGAATAGGTCTGTGACAGTGGAACTGCTTGAAAATATAATCACATGCATGTTTTTCTCCTTCTTACTTGACGTTATCCTCCACACCAGGATCTTAATAAGTCTAAAAATAAAAGGTGTAGATTACTGCTCTGTGTTGGTGATTGTTATTTTAGGAATTTGCTCTCAGGAGGTGTCCCAGCTGGGATTTTTCTGAAGGTCTTGTGTCCTGAAATAGGCAGAATCAGGTCTACACAAAAAGCTTGCAGAAAATTCCTCCTTATATTTAAATGAGGCAGTAGGAGCAGTTAAAACCATCCTACTGCAAGAATCTTTCAGTTAATGAACTTCCATACATGATCCTGAAAGCTCAGCAAACCTGTTCTCTTCCAGTAACTCAGTTTAGTTCCCAGCTCTTCCAGAATATTTTCCCTCTGTGTCTCCTGATGATCATTCACATAAATAACCTTATCCTGATCATTTGTGCAAGCCTGAAAAGTCTGAACTGAACCACTCCTGGCATATTTGTTTCTCTCTGTATCCTGCTGATGCCTTTGGGCAGCAGATGTGTTTCCATGCAATATTCCCCCAAGACTGAGGTCATTGGCCTGTCTGCTGAAATGAGGGAAATGCAGGATAAATCTAGGAATAACACAACAATTCCACCACTCCTTCAGGCTGCTGTGGTGGTTCACCTCAGCAGTGTGATGATGTAACTGCAAATGCCTGGAGTGAGGCCCTTTCACTCAGAGCTGGAGCTGCTCTTGGGTCACCAGCACTGCTGGGCTTTTCTCCACCCAGCTTTCCTGACCAACACATCCAGTGCACAACTGGATGATCCCCAGGCAGCAGGCAGTGCCATTGCTCCAAAAATTGAGTGAATTCCCATGATCTACTGCCCACTGTGCCATGGTTCCCCTCACCTTGTCCCTAACAACTACTTCTCAAGCAGGCTTTAATTAATGCTGTTGTAATGATGATCTTTGGTGCAGGCAGCTTTGGCCCACTGTCAGCATTGAATTTTCATTTTGTGCAGCTTTTTACACTCTAGGTGTAATGCTTGAAGCATTACATCTAGTCCTGTGGCTTTCTGAAATGTCTCTAAAATAGTTTAATTTTAACTCTATTAGTCATATTGTTGCCATTCATAAATGTAATTGTGATATTTAGTATTGCATTACAAATGCTTTGCCTCTGGTTTTTCAACACTATCATCCTTTTGTGGCTTCATTTTTTTCCCCATTATGGTCCAAAGTATCATTCTCATGTAGTAATTTCCAATTCATTTATATCTTTTATACAAGTTTATACAGCCACTTTTATGCTGTCAGCTTTCACGACTCAAGTCACTGAGTAAGCTCAGAAAAAAACTTCAATTAAATTTCTGAAACTCTGGCAAGGTTTATTGATACATGATTCAAATTATTTGCCTTACAGATATTTCTACCAAGGCTAAACCACTTCTGAGTACAAAACTGGACAGAAAGTTATACAGAAAGGCAAAGAAGCATCATTGTATGATTTATTTTTCATGTGATAATTTAAGTAAGTAATCTTTTTAGAAAAGGCTTCAAGAAGATAAAAGGATAAAAGCCTTTGGTGGGTGAGAGGTAAGAACCATTTTAACTATGACTGCATTAGGTCACAGCAATTAAGGACAGCCATCCCAGCAGCACCAAACAAAAATCAAGTGGAAATCTGGGGTAAGAAACACTCTGCAAAGATAGGTCAGTCATGCTTTACAGGTTTAACAACAGCACAGGCTTCAGACTCTCTGTGCTACCACCTAACCTCAAATGTTGGGTGGCACTGACCAAGACTTAACTTGATTCCAGCTTGACATAAGAAAAAAATTAATTACTGTGCTGGAGGCCAGAAAACCAAAATCAATCAGAATATCTGAGTGAACAATCAATAGTGAGGAATTCTGTCCAGGGAGTGTTTTCCTTTCAGATCACTGGTGATTCCACGTGAATTTCAAGTATTCAGTAGGTTGTTTAAGCTATTGAGGGAATTTTTATCCTGACTGATAGCACTGTTGTCTAGCAGCAATTCCACAGGGCCATAGCCTGTGGAGACAAAGCATCTCCATCAGGCAGTAAGTGATTCTTCACAGGCCCAAACCCAGGTCCCACTTTTCACAAACACTGATCCCAGCCTCTACTGTCACCTGTAACATTGTAAAGGGACACAGGACCTTGAGGTTGGACTAAACTGGACAAAATATGTGGTGTAGTTGGTCTTTAAGGACTTTGGATATGTGAAGGTCAAGTATCTTGCATAGCAAGAAATCAAGGGGTAATGGAAACCTCTAGAGGCTCAAACCTTTTCTGTACAGCTCACATATATAGGAATACAATTTTAAACATTTGCTTCAGGCATATGTAATTCTTGGATAACAGCCTGAATCTCGTTAAATGTGTACATGATTCCCAATGATAGTTTCATTTAACACATTCTTGGCAAATGTTTTAGAGAAAAAAATCTATTCTTGGTTATATGAAATATTTAAAGGGGCAAGGTCATGTCAAAGACAGTAATAGATATCTTTAATGTATGTGGGCCTTGCTGGCATCCAGTGGTGTTTAAAAATATTCTTTTTATTGCTATCTAGATAAGAACATTCCAATGTGAAGAGATGCTGTAGTACAGTAGATGGAGGTTAGAAAAGTTTCTGTATTTAGCATGTTATTAGGAATTTATTACCTGTCCACCAGCTGCAAAACCGTGTGTCTGTTTATAGACAGCTGTCAACCAGTTTTCCTTCATTATTTAAGGACAGAGTTTAAAGATTCAGGAGGTGTCTCGTAGTCCCACAGCTGTACATTGTAAATTCATTAGCCAGTGCATCATGGAATTCACTGACAAAATAAAATATGGATTGTGGCTTCCTTGATTCAATGGTCCAACTTAAAATTTATTACTTGGAAGAAGCCTTGGAGGAATAGTGACATTTTATTATTATAAAGTGAGATTTATGATGAAAGGCTGCTGCTCTTGGTGTTCTTTATATTCACACTGTGTTTTAGAAGATACTTTATTATTACTTTATTCTATGTGGTATAATTAATGTTGGCTGTGTTATATTTTTCCTCCAGAATATGCTAATATTCTGTGCTAAGTTATTAGTAATAGCTTAATTTTCTACCAATGAAAAACACAGTGACAAAAGTTCTGTTTATACATAACTTGAGCTACTTGGTTGTTAACAAGAAAAAGATAACCACACTTCTGTATAAGAATAAGATATTTTTTGTTTAACTGCAACCAAAGTTCAGTTGAAGTAGAATATAATTTCATTTTTACACAAGCATAGAAACCCAAAGTGTGTGGAATCTGGAGTGCTTTCTTTCAGTGTGAAATTTTAAGTGTGCATCACTGCAATTCTCCCTTTCTTTTGGCCAATCTGAGCCAAAAGTGCCTGAGGTGACCTGGGTGATGACTGAGGCAGCTGATTACAAACCAGGGACTCTCTGAGTGTGAGTGCAGTAGGCAGAGTTTTGTCTGGGCTCAGTTTAACAGCAGACCTACTCCTCTTCACCCACTGCAAAACAAGGCTTCTATTGAAGCTGAAATTGGATATGGTTTTCCTCAAAAGAGGCTACATGAAACAAAATCCATTGACAACCAGAGGGAAGAAGGATTCAGAGGAAAGCACTACAGAGAGACACAGAAATGTGGACCAAGGTAAAAGGAAAGCAAATTCTCTATAAAAAAAAAGAAATTCACTGGGAACAGTCATGAAACCATAGATGTAATTTTGCCACTTGGTTCAGCCAGGTCTCTGTTCCTGCATTGTGCAAATGCTCCCATTAAAGCAATGTCAGAGTAAAGCAAGGAAATGAGACCTCCACCTTCTTACACAGTAATAATTTACCAGCATATGCACATCTATGGAAGGATTTATTAAATTAGCAGGGAACTGCTTCAAGTGTATTTTCCTGAAATGATTTTTTTATTTATTGATGTATAAGGAGGGGGAGAAAAAGGAATTTGGATAGTGTGGTTAGTAGGATTTTAGCAGCAAGTCCAATCTAAAACTATTTTGAGGATTTCACCTTTGTAGTTTGCAGCATTTTGAGCAGCATTTCTGGTATGCCTCCTGTATTCTTTCCTTCTTATATCATTTGACTTTTATGAATAAATAAAAATTGGCACCATTTTATTTTAGTATTTTTTTATATTTAGTATATACTTGGTATTTATTTCCATCTTGTACAAGTCAAAACTGTATAAGCCAAAACTCGATAAAACACAGAGCAATGGGAAATAAGCCCATTCATATTAGATGAAATAAATCTCCTTTTAACATTACATTTTTAAGGATATTTACTTAATTTTATAATACAAATGCATTTTCTGTTATAATTGTAAAATAATAATGTACTTTATTTTTCTGTATAGTGTAGCTCAGATTATTGTATTTTCAAGAAAATACCTGGTTACACTTACTACTTCTGACTTCTCAATGAATCACTGAGTACAGTGAGTGCTTGTTTGTTCTCAATTACAGAATGCTACACTGACCTTGGGAGTGAAATTCAGTAATCCTGGAAATCTGCCTTGCATAAATCACAGGCACCTGATTCTTTTTTTCATTTTTCACTATTCTTTTCTGTTGACGCTTTTTTAAACACCTCCCTACAAATATTCTATAAAAATGGAGCTAAATTAGTTCTTACCAAGAATAAATTTGTATTATGAAGAAGAAAACATGCGAAGTTCAAGTAAGCATGAAGCTCAATGCCAGTAGTAATAAAAATGCAGTATCATAATTGTTGTTGTTCTGTTGCTCTTGGATTAGTGTCTGCATATTCTAGGCTTTAAAAATTATGACAATGGAATAGGAAGGCTGCGAAGATAAGCATTCCAAAGTTGTTAAACCTATTGTGCATAAACACAAAAAGTGAACTCAAGTTGCACCAGTATCCTTGACTTTGATCAGCATGCTGTG